AGGAGTGATTTTTTTTTTGTCTTTTTGAGACAGGGTCTCGCTATGCAGTTCAGGCTGGCCTTGAGCTCACTTTGTAGCCCAGGCTGGCCTCGAACTTGGAAGAACTTGGAACGATCCTCCTGCCTCAGCCTCCAAGTGCTGGGATTATAGGCGTATGCCACCACGCCTGGCTCATCTCAGTGTTTTTATATGTAAGAAGGGACCAAAGTACCTACCTGGTGGTAGAGGAGTTAAAGAGAAAATACCACTCAATATTTCACCCAGTGGTGACTGTTCTTTGAAATTCTGTCAGGAACCTGTGTTCCAAATCACCAATTTGTTTATTTACTTACTTTTCGATTTTTATTTGAAACAAGTGAACGGTATGATAGGAAGAAAGCAGCAGTTTTTACTGGGGAAGCTGAGGCAGGAGGATAGTAAGTTCAAGGTCAGCCTGGGCAGTTTGACAAGACCTAGTCTTAAACTAAAAACCAAAAAGCTCCCCAGTAGCGCAAAAGGAAAAAAGAAAAGTACTTCTCATTTCATTTGTGACCTTGCTAGATGTAAAATAATGAGATTTCTTGACCTCTAAGCCAGGCCACCCGGAAGGAGGGAGGTGAAGCCAGCCCTCAGCCCTTGGTGATTTCTTTAGCTTTTTTTTTTTTTTTTGCCTCAGCCCTGGCAGCCCTGTTGGACCCTTTAACTCCGCACCATCCCCACTCAGTCCGGTTTTAGGGATGAAACTTATAGTTATGAAAGAAAGAAAGTTCCTATATTTAGGGCAAAGACAACAGTCTACACATATCCATTTCCTCCCCATCCCCAAATCCACTGCTCAGAAACCTGAGATTCCTCCTACTATTCCCAACTCCCACTCCTCAAAAGAAACTCGCACAGTTCCAATGACTTGTTTTTCTTTTTTTCCTTTTTTTATCTTTTTGACACAAGCTCTCACTATGTAGTTCAGACTGGCCTTGAGTTCACTTTGTAGCCCAGGCTGGTCTCGAACTCACAACAATCCTCCCGCCTCAGCCTCCCC